TTTTTGTTATTCATTTTCTATTATTCCATATTTACTAACTTTTATCTATAATTCATTACTATTATTCATTATTTACTAACTATTATCCACAACTTATTACTATTATTTATTACACGATATTACTTAATATTACTATTTATTACTCACTATATACTTACTATATACAGAAACTTTTGCCACCATGACAAATATGATGTTTATGTAAAAAAAGAAAAAACTAATAATTTGTCATTAAACAAACCACTTGAATGAAAAAGCAAAAATGTTCGAAAATAATTAGAAGTAGTATAGTAAAAAAAATATTTTAAAAAAACATTTTATAATTCAACTTGTAACAAACTATTTAAATAGATAAATTGAGAGTTCTCCTTGTATTAGACTCTTCTCTCTCCCAATTTAACCCTAATTTTACAATTTAAATTAGAAAACAGAACCAGTAAAAATAAATAAATACTACAAATAAACAAACGCGAAGAGATACCTCCATTCAATGGCTATCACCAATCGCCCATTACTAATTCACTAAACACTGGAACTCCACTTGTAGATGATGTCGTTGATGGCTGTGTTGACTATAAAGGCCGCTCCATCCATTGATTCAGCTCTAGTGGCTGCAGGTCAGTATCTCTCGTTATAGGAAAAAACTAATTCCTTGTGAATTATAGATTCCCAACATGCATGATTTGCCTTTAAGTGAACCAAAAGCTAGGCTTACAAAACCAGAAAAAAGAAAAAAAAAAAAAAGAAGAAGTGGCATTTAGAAGTGTCATTGCTGTCTCTCCAGTGAGAAAAGATCATAGGTCGTAAAGGTTTGTGCTAAATCAAAATTGAGATGCTGTTAAGTCTCCAAGGTGCAGGTTGATCTCATTTAAGAGAAGCCAATTTCTTTGCATAGCTTGGCAAAGTAAGGGGTGGTTAGAAAAGTGAAGTTCGTTGCTTGGATGTAATTTCTTACTGATCTATCTCACATTGTTGGATGGCGTACAACTGCTTCTTTGGACTTGTCTTTTTATTGTCTATGCTTGTGCGCCCTTTTTGTTGAGTTTTGTTTCTGGCATTGTTTCTTTGGTCTTATTAATAGCACTTGGGCAGTGCGTCAACATTAAGAACTTTCCTGTTTTGTAAATTTTTAC